GTAGGTTTCGTACAGTGATGATTTTGGGTAACTACAAAGAGAGGTGATGATTTTGGGTAAGTACAAAGACATTTATAGTTTTCCTTGATAAAAGGAAGAGTATCTAAATGTAGGGGATTATGTGTAACTGATACTTAATATTTAAGGTATGTCTCATTTCTTCCTTTTTATAGTTTTGTATAAAACTAGTAAATATAGGTATATAAAGTAATTAATAAGGAACCTAAATAAAGGTAGTAAATAGGTTTCTATCATAGTATAGCTAGGTAAAAATTCATAATTTTAATAAATATTTGGCCCATCACTCAATGGCCGCTATAATTGTGTGCACTTTTACTAGTGAGTGGCTTGGCCTGATAACTTTGAGTTTACTGGATAATATAAAAAGTGACTATTCTGAGGATATATTTTTATTTTTTTGTTTGTGACATTGATAACAGTAACAAAGTTTGAATTATTAGTACCGATGAAATTGTTCTGACACTTTTGAAGTACTCAAGAATTGTATATTTTTGTCATTTTAAAATAATATACTGTGGTCTAGATTTTTTCAGTCTATAAGAAATAGTTTATCTCATTTCTATCTTAAAAAGGTCAAAACTACATGCAATGAGTTTTATAGTCATAATTAATGAAGTGCTAATATTTATAATTGTTATAACAGAACAATTTTATGCATAACAGTTATACGTGCCCCTGTGGGTAACAAATTTAGAGGACCGAGGATGAGTCTCAGTTGCACTATGGCCTATCATGCCAAAGGTTAAGGATAAGACGGTGGGTTTTAAGTCACAACGCATCATGAGAGTAAGACATCGGGTTTTGAGTCCTGATGCTCCATGATTGTAAGAGTTGGGTTCGAGTCCCAACTTTTTATGGCCCAACTTGCCTTTATATGGGTAAGGCATTGTGTTTGAGTTCCAAACACCATATTGATGATATAATGATGACTAAAGAAAAATAATATATTTTTCATGAAAAAGCATGAAGCTTGTCCCACTTGATTTGCTCCATTCTTGAAGTAAATGTGATAGCGATTCATAATAAGTCTAAATAAAGACAAGTGGTTGACCAATGAACGTGGGTGTGCCAAAGACCAAAATAATAATAGTCATCGTTATGGTAATTATAAAAGGGAGAACAATAAGGGTTCTCAAAATAATCCTTCAAAAGTGTAGGAAATATGTATCAATGTGGCCTGTTAATGCGAGACGCGTTCACATGATTGTGATCCATTCCTTGAAAATGTGACTTGTGATAAGCATTGTAAATGCAGACTCATTCCTGAAAGTGAATGTGGAAATATATATGTGATATAAATTAAGCATAAGAATGTGTTTATGCATGGTTGAATAAATACTACAACTCACCTCTACTGGGAGGTTTGAGAGAAAGAAATATAATGAACATTACTGTGTGGTTACTGTTACATGAATATGTCATTGGTCACGTGCATATGTACGGCAAAAATATTTTGTCGTGCCTTATAAAAGGTTTTTGAAGGCAAAGTTAAAGCAAGAAATGATTTTGCTTATGATGATTTGGATCATGACAATTATTATGATATAATTTTCTCCGTGAAGGAGACATTCACCATATAGATGGTGTGACAAAAGATCTTATTGTACAAAATTAATTAAGAGCTCCGGAAGAACTAATTTGTTACTATCCGGATGAATGAAATTGTTCTTGGCATTGATATTGTAGTAAGTCTCAAAAGAAACTTTTTGAGTTTCAAATATATTAGCCAAAGTGGTTGGCATTTGTGACTATAAATTAAAGAAAGATTGAATATCTTCATGTTATTATAATCATACCGGGTAAATATGAAAGGTTACCCGACTTTTCTTCTATTTGTATTACACATGTATAAGCATGATGATGGAATTACATCCCATAGTATTAGATGTTTACTGAAACAAATATCAAGTGGCATGACGGATTGGCCATCCTGGTTAAGATATGATGCGAAAAATGATTGAAAATTTACATTGCCATATATTGAAAAAATAGGAGATTCTTCAAGAATTCTCTTGTGCTACTTATTTTTATGACATACCAGCTAAGGTTGAGATTGTATTCCCTATTTTTGAAACGTATAAAAGTGATATATATATGCCCAATCACCTGCCATGTGGATCACTTACTATTATATGATTTTAATAGATACATGTATTGTATGGTCACATGCGCGTTTGTTATCAACTTGCAGTTTGGAGTTTGCAAGGTTGATTGCTCAAATTATTAGAGTGCGGTTCCAAAATATAAATTATGATGATTTATCTTGGTATTGTTGGTTTAAATCCAAGTTGGCTTAGCAGAAATTGATTCCAATTATAACTAAACCATTGGTTATGAGAACAAAACTCCCAAATAATACTTGGTATGAGGTGTATGATTTAATAATCACTTGTACGCATCTAGCTAACAAGTTATGATAAATACTCTCTACCACAATTGGTTTAGGGTCAAGAACCAAATAATTTTCATCTAGAATATGGATGTGCTATATGATTTAATTGTTCCACCATAATGCACAAAGATGGGTCCCCAAAGAAGGTTGGGGATATGTGTTGGTGATCCCAACATTAGGGGGAGAAAATGGGCAGCTGAAAAAGTAATACATGGAATGAATTATTATGAGTACATCTACATCCTCGTACAAGAAAATGTGAACTTGAAGTTCAAGTGATAATTCATTTACAAATATCACCAGAGGCATTTGCTGACCCAAAGCTAAATGTTATATTTCAGCAGCTAATGCTCCAAATAGAATAAAGTCTATGACGGACAGAGTCTATGGCACGCATAAAGCGTAATAGACTAATCGGTTCTAAAGATAAAACTCCTTGATGAAGGAGAGGAGCAAATGAGCAAGATGGTCATAATAAAGAGGCAAGTGCTTTATAAGAGCACCACGACATAACACTTTATAAGACCTCATGGGAGAGGCTCAGGTACCTGAAAATAATGAGATATCGATAAGTTATGTCATTATTGAGTGATGATGAAACCGATATAAAATGATTGTCGATGATATTGTTGATATAATGTAGCGCTCAATATTATTAATATTGACGAGGATCTTGAGCTCAATCTGTCATGGAATTTAGACAGATAATTGATTGATCAAATGAAAAATACGCAATCAATATTGACTTCACTTTGAAAACGTGATGTTTTGGACTGAGAGTCTCAACACCTAAAAGTATAAAGCAGTGGATGACACAAGATTTTTCGTAAATGACCTGGCATTGATTATATGGAAACATGTTCTCTTGTGGTGGATGCAGTTGCTTTCAGATTTTAGTCTGGCAATACCTGAAAAATTTGATATGCGTATATAAAAATCATTGAAGGATTTAAACTGTTCTGAAGCATATTAAGGTTCCCAAGAAATTTATTAAATAAAGTTTCAGCAAATCCTTATATGGATTAGAGCAATCATGGCGTACATGATTTATTTTTGTGTTTATTACAATTGGTGCACTAATGTATCTTCCTAGAACCATGAGTATAATAATATGCTAGCGAGATATAGTTTTATTCTTATGTGGAGATATTGGAATACGATTAGTATTATATTGCAAAAAGACTCCTTGATATAGAATTGTTTATTATAACAAATATTGTCAAGGTTTTGTTAGTTATACAAATGCAGGCATAGTTCATTGTTCAGATAATCTATTTGTCTGTGAGGATATTGCCATATTATGACAACAAGATTCCAACTACATTGAAGACGATAATGTATGCATAGCTCAATTGAAAGAAGGACTATCCAAGGAGACAAAATAAAGTCATTTTGACCAAAGTTCTTTTCAGACTTGATCTTCGACAGATTGATGATATAGATGTTTAACAAATTTATTTGATTGGTAATTTGGTGGATCTGTTCAATGAATCATTACCAACCTCAACATTTGAGAAGCTGGTATACGGGATTAGAATGTGTCATTTCCGAAAAACAGTGATATTTCCATCAGGGAGAGTAAGATATGCATTGCACTCTTTTTTCCTTAGCTGAGGTTTTATCCCATTGGGTTTTCCTAGCAAGGTTTTTAACGATGCAGCAAACAATGCGTATTACAAGATATGTATACTCTTTTTCCTTCACTAAGATTTTTTTCCATCGGGTTTCCTTAGTAAGGTTTTAATGAGCCACATTATCTATGGACATCCAAAGGGGGTGTTATAAATAATTATCGCATGGTGGATGTCCATAACTCATAAAGGAGTAATACTCTCTACTCTTCTCCATTATTTCCATAACTCCACTACTCCAATACTTATGCAGTTATGGTTGTAACTCTCGTACCTCCATAACCTTTCATGATTTTCCTCTATGATTTCAAATGTGTAATGTCATGTTTATGGCATTCTTTTGTATATCTCTATATAATCTTATAAATAAGGGGTTTTGACACCACATTGTACACACATGAAATACTTGAAAGAAATAAGAAACTCTCATCTCAAGCTCTCATCTCTTTCTCCCTATATTCTTGTCTATTTTACTATTTCATATTTGTTATTTTGAATTTAATTTCTTACCATAATACTATTAGTATGAAAAAAGCTTTCCACATATCAACGAACCATTTGACCTTACAATCTAATTTCTTTCAAAGAAATTTAAAATTCTGAGAATATGGACGTAAGAAAAGTCGACAACAAATCGAAACGTGGCAAAACATTTACCTTGTAAACGATTTCATTCCTTTAGCACATAATTAATCCAAAGCTAGGCTGTCCAAGATGTGATTTGAGGTGGGGCCCAAAGAGCACCCAACCAATTCAAATTCCTCTCCAGTACTTCGCTTCAGGCGCATTTCACGTGGCCCCATGACTCCACGTCAACAAATCAGAATCTTCCTCCAACTCTAAATCTCCACGTCAACAAAAAATATCCTGTACAAACCAAAGGAAACATCTCTTCCGAGCCACAAGAAAAAAGCTTTTGTTCCCTTACGTACCTACCACCTGTCACTCCTTCTGACCATTCACTTCCTCCCCTTACGCTGTCGTTTTATAATAAACACCTCCCGCATCCCTAGGTCTTCCTCGTTTCACAAATTCTCTTTACTGTATTTTAAACATATTACATTTATACCCCTCGCCGTAGTTCCTAAGGAAGAATTTGCCGTTTCTGTGATTATTGTTTAAAGTAAAAGAGGTTTCAGTTCCAGTTGCAATTGGCTTCCTCTTTTTCTCTCCCCTAAATTCTCTATCTAATTTCTCCGCCGACGAGGATAATATAGAAAAGGATGAAAAACTGTGAGCTTTGTAAGGGATTGGCTAGGATGTACTGTGAATCGGACAACGCGAGTTTGTGTTGGGACTGTGATGCGAAGGTTCACTCGGCTAACTTTTTAGCGGCGAGACATTCTAGGTCTTTGCTCTGCCACGTGTGTCAATCGCCGACGGCTTGGTCGGCGGACGGACCGAAGCTTGGACCGACGGTCTCTGTATGTGAGAGGTGTGTGGATGGATACTACCAGAGAGACGAGGTAGAGGAGAGTGAAAGCGTGAACGATGAAGGAAGTGCCACGGAGGATGAAGAAATTGATGATGAAGAGGATGAAGATGAGGAGGAAATTGACGATGAAGAGGAGATTGATTCGAAGGATATTGATCAAGTTGTGCCGTGGTCATCTACGCCGCCTCCACCGCCGGATAGTTCGTCCAGCAGCGAAGATTCATCTGAAGGCCGTCGGAATGTTTCGTTGAAGCGAATGCGTGAAAATGATGCGGATCTTCATTCAGATGTATGAGATTCTTCTAGTTTTGGTATTTTATTTTATTTTTTATATTTCTCTTTCATTTTACGCGAGGTTGAATACTGAAAGACGTAGTATTTATGGTTATAGGGCGATAGCGGAAGTTCATTATGTAACCGGAAAATCCACACAACGCCGTCGGCGGCAGTACACGGCGGTGACGATGTAGCAGCTTTTGTTGTTTCAACGAAAATGAGAACGTCGGCTAAGATACAGAGAACGGAAGCGAGCCGAACGGATCGGCTGGCGACGCCTGGATGCACGGCGGTAATGGAGTATATCAGGAGAAATAATAGTCAGAGGATAAGCTCCAGTACGGCGATCGCCGAGCTCTGTAGACTCAGTGATGACTCAAGGACCGTTGATCTGGAAATCTCGGAGACCTCGTAGCCGTCGGATTGACCATACGTTTCAGTTACATTACGTCATTTCTACTTTTGTTACTAACCCTTTATCCAAATCTTGTAGTCGGTGGATTTCATAGCTCAGATAAGAGTTGATTTGTTCTAAGTAATAATCTTCTTAGAGTTAGGACCATTTGCTAGTAGTATATGCTAAGTATTTTTATTTACTGTATGTAATTTATTTAGGATAATTACAATATTTAGAAGAGGAATGCATTTAAACACTTTTGTAAGATATCTTGCCACAAATGCATTACTTCTTTTTTCCTTTTCCTTTGAGCTATTGTTTAGCTTACTAACGACATAATCCTGCATATATACTGTCATTTGGTCCCAGCTTCTCTTGATACGATAGCGAATTTAGGATTTTAAATCAATAAGTATAAATTAGCATGCATCATATATTCGTTTGCAATTTATTCACTAGCAGTGAGTGATTTTTTACACTATTACATTAATATAACTAGTTTGAAGTTTGAACAAATTATGTTTTTTTTTTTTTTTTTTGACATCAAGATCGAATTTGAAATGAAATGACCAGCAGAATGTATAGCTTTCTGACGGGACCCTCTAGCCAGAGGCCGAGCTAGTAATGCCGGAGGGACTTTGTATTTATTTGAATAAATTTATTAAAAATATATAAATTATTCATTTAGAATTCAATAACTTGAAACAACTAGAATTTTAAATTTTAATTCCGCCTTTACCAACGGCCTCTAGCCTCTAAGTCCACAAGAAACCCATGGTGAGTGGTTTGTTAGAGATGTTAGTTGCACCACTCGTTTTTAGCACCTCTAATTTAGAAATGGTGCAGAAAGCTGCAGACTACAACAATTTGAGGTCATTTTAAGTGTGGGAAATTGTATTGAGTGGTTCAAATTCAACAAGATAGAACGGAATATATATATTCAAAATTGTCTGCGTTTGCCAAACACCACTCATTCTTTTCTTTTCTTTTGCTTTTATTATAAATCAGAAACAATGACGACTCGTTTTCATGAGATTAGTGAACCTAATTTATTCTCCCTTTATTTTGTCCATTATTTTATTCAAGGCATTTGTTCAGAAGATATTTTCAGGTTATTTTATTATAGTTTGTAAATATCTGGAGGTTGATAAGACTTAGATAGTGGCCATAATTTGAGGGATTAGTGTCCCACCACTTTTTTATTAAGCAAACTATATTTGTGGCCGGCAATCAATCAATTTGGACAAAGCTTTTCATGTAGGCATCACCCCGTCAAATTTGGAGAAAACTGCTAAGAAAAATTATAGAAAAAAGCCTACGGTTTTCATATATCGTCCAATCTATGCTCTTTTTTCCAAATTTATACTACAAATACTTTCATATTTCTGTCTTGCCACCTCCTCACGTATATCTGTAGACCATTTTTCTTTTGAGTTCAGCTTTTATGTACTCATAATGCAAAAATGTTACTTAATATATACTGATAATGAAAATTATATTTATACTAACAATATATATAAGTTAAAAATTAATTTTGTTGTATGGTTTTCTCATGAATTATCGGTCATTTATCATTTAAACTTCAAAAGCTATTAACAAAAAGACATGGCATCTACCTCACCTTTCAACCATGCCATGTTAGAAATAAGAACCAGCTTAATTGTTTCCTGCAGGCATAAAATTGTCTGTTTCTTTTTCTTTTTTTAAGATCTTTCTTTTTGCCTAAACATTTCCTCTTTCAGTCGCTTGACCAGCCGATTTAATCTGCATAACTTACTAAAGAATTTGACAATAACTATAAAAAAAAACCACTTTGGCTACTAAAATGGACTATTGATCACACGACAATATAATATGTTATGTATTCATTAGTAAAACAAGTTAATTTTAAATATTTTATTTTATTCATTATAAAATAATTTTATAATCTCACAAATGCTATGACGTATTTAAGACTACAAAGCTCAAAAATATTTATTTATTTTTAAACTTTGTGCTCACGTCAAACATACTCACATACAATGGAACGGCGGGAGTACGAAATTTGTCAATTATATTGGGTGAACATCGTTTGAGATTGTAAATTATTTAATTATGATTGGTTTAGTACTAAACCAAGAATAAATATAACAGTTTCTAGTTTTTAAAACAAAGGCCATGAAACTTGTAGGTGAAAGTAGGGGTTTCTTGTGTCCTACAGGCGTTGGTTTTCGTTTTACTAGACGCAATGTGAAATATGAAAATATATAAAGTCATTCCAACAAGAAGAGGTTGTGGGATAATGCTGAGATTAGTAATGATTGTGGTGGTTAGGCTTCATTAGTTAGTTAGATTAGTTGTAACTAACTTACCTTAGAGTAGAGTTAGTGTAACTTAGGTTAGTTTTAGTTTTAACTCTAGTTAAGAATTAGAGCTGATTTTATATATTTGCATGTACAGATACTGAGTATGTACGTATCAATACACAACTTCTTCTTCCTCAGAAATATCGAACCATTTTCTTCTCTCTGAATTTTAGATCTGCAGCTTCTAATCCATGGCAAGTCTCCATGGTAGCTGATTTCTTCATGGTATCAGAGCTACACGACCATTAGTGTGGTCTTAGTTTCATCCTCAATTCCGATTTCACGAAGCTCACTTGAAGGATCAACAATGGCGAACCTCGATAACACTGAACCAGAGAAGTTAGGTCATAATCATCCACTCTTCCTGAATTCCAATGATAATTCAGGAGCTGTTTTGATCTCATTACATTTGAGAGGACCAGAAAACTACTCTGTGTGGAGTCGAGCAATGCGGATTGCAATTTTAGGTCGGAACAAGCTGGGTTTCATCGACGGGACATGCAAAAAGGAGAATTACGGTACGAATCTCATTGATCTTTGGGAACGATGTAACGCAATTGTTTTATCCTGGTTGATGAACTGTGTTTCACCGGAATTGTTGAGTGGATTGGTGTATTCCTCAAATGCTAGTGAAGTTTGGGATGATTTAAAGGAGCGTTTTAATAAAGTTGATTGTTCTAGGATTTTTCAGATCCATAGAGAAATTGCTACAGCTATGCATGGCACTAGCTCAATTTCTACTTATTTCTCAAAATTGAGAGTACTTTGGGTAGAGTTTGACAGTTTAGCACCAATTCCTGGTCGTGATGCTGCAAATTCTCGTGACTTTCTTCAGTTTATGGAGCATCAAAAGCTTCTACAATTTCTAATGGGACTTAACGAGTCTTATGAGCAAGCTCGTAGTCAACTCCTGATGATGCTGCCAGTGCCATCAGTGAACAAGGCGTATTGTATGTTAATAGAATGTGAAAGCCAAAGGACTATGGCAAGTGTTTCTGCTAACATGGATAATGCTGAAATGACAGCATTGATGGCTAATAGGGCTGGAAATCAGCAGAAGATGAGGAAGAATTAAAACCTTTTCTGTGATTTTTGCAAGATGAAGGGACATACTAAGGAGGTTTGCTACAAAATACTGGGATATCCAAATGATAACAAGTTCAGAAAGAAGTACAACACACAAGCTGCAGCTAACATAGCAGTTGAACAGACTGCACCTGCAGGATGCATGCCAACTCCAACTCCTACTGCACAAACCTTTACTCCAGAACAGTACCAACAGATTTTGTTTGTCCATTAGCTAGGCAAACTAAGTTGCCATTTCCTGTCAGTACTAGTAGAGCAAGGAGTCCATTTGAACTTTTGCATGCAGATGTATGGGGGCCTTACAGGGTGCCTACCTATGACAATAAAAGATTTTTTCTTACTGTTGTTGATGACTTCTCTAGAACCACTTGGTTGTTTCTGATGAATGCCAAAGATGAAACTTGTTGGTTGATGAAAGGACTGATTTCCATGATTCATACACAGTTTAATTGGTCGGTTAAAGCTATAAGAACAGACAATGGATCAGAATTTGTTAACTCAGATGTGAGACACTTCTTAGAATCACAGGGAATTATTCATCAAACAACATGTGTGTACACTCCATAACAGAATGGTGTTGTGGAAAGGAGACATAGATATATTCTAGAGGTAGCAAGAGCCTTAAGATTCCAAGCTGCTATCCCTCTAAGATTTTGGGGTGAGTGTGTTCTTACAGTAGTGCATATCATAAACAGGTTACCCTCTACAGTTCTAAAGGGTAAATCTCCATATGAAAAGTTGTTTAATACTAAACCTTCTTTAGACCATATGAGAGTGTTTGGGTGTCTATGTTATGCTATGAATGTTAGGAGGCAGGACAAGTTCTCAGCCAGAGCTTTACCTGCAGTGTTCATGGGGTATACTCCAACTAAAAAGGGCTACAAACTGTATGATTTGCAATCTAAACAATTTGTTGTTAGCAGGGATGTTGTCTTTAAGGATATATATTTCCCTTCAGTCAAATGAAGCTGTCACCTGCTCCATTCTTTCCACCACTTGAGCCAGATGATATATCAAATATTTCAGACATATTATGTGAAGATACAGCAGCTGATCACACTACAGACCATGATGGTGATGCAGGACAAAGGAATGAAGCAGTCTCTGAAGAGTCAGATACTCCATCTAGCACTACTCCTATACCAGTTGTTGACAATATTGCTCTTGATGTTGTACCACAATTGCAGGCTGAGTCTCCACATTTGCAAGACATGAATGATGCATTACCAATTGTAGTTAGAAAGCATTCCAGAACTGCAGGGCCACCAAAATGGCTGCAGGATTTTGTGTCCACATCTTGTGCATACCTTATATCAGACTACCTAAGCTATGATAGGTTATCTCCTTCTTATGTTAGATGTTTGTCAACTCAATCCTCTATAGTTGAGCCCAAGCATTATCATGAAGCTTCAAAAGATGCAAGGTGGGTGGCTGCTATGCAACAAGAAGTCACAGCATTAGAAGAAAACAACACATGGGATGTTGTTGATCTGCCTGCACATAAAGTTCCTATAGGATGCAAATGGGTATACAAAGTGAAGTATCATGCTGATGGTAAGGTGGAAAGACTCAAAGCTAGATTTGTAGCTAAAGGTTTTAGCCAAAAAGAAGGCCTAGATTACAAGGAGACATTCTCACCTGTGGCCAAGATGGTCACTGTTAGATCAGTTATAGCAGTAGCAGCCTCTAAGCATTGGCACATTTATCAAATGGATGTGCACAATGCATTCTTGCAAGGTGACTTATTTGGAGAAGTATACATGCATCTACCACAAGGGTACAACATCAAGGGGGAGTCCAGAACAAGGTGTGCAAGCTAAAGAAATCACTCTATGGCCTGAAGCAGGCTTCAAGGCAATGGAACTTGAAGTTGACAGA